AGGAACAAACTGTGCATGCTTAATTGCTTCTTTCTTAATTGGCATAGGAAGTGGGGAGTGGGTGGTAACTGGGTTATGAATCTGTGTTTGTATTCAATATCTAGGTAAATAAAAGTCTGTATTCACCTGAACTCGGGGCTGTGTGTATTACGGGGTGACCCTGCCCATTGGCCCAGCACTGCCAATAAACATACACTCTGTAATCCTAATCGGTTAAAGAGTCTTTGTCTGTCTCAGCTCGATACTGATACTAGATCATATCCATATTTTGGTAAATCATTTTGGCGACCGCGGCAGGACTCTGCTCTCTCTAGCTGAGGGGCCAGCAGGGGTCCAGGCCTACCCAGAATTTTCTGGGAAGAGTCCTGTGTCCTCACTGACAGCCTGGGGAAAGACCAGGAACTGCCAGAACTATGGACAAAAGGTATGTTTAAAAATTGAAACAGGTACCTTTGAGGTGGTGTACGGTGTACACAGGGTTAAAAGGCTGTTGATAAATAGATAAAATTAATAAATAAATAAAAGAGACATCTTTACGTGCAACGAATGCCTCTGTGTTTTTGTTTGAATGTTTACACGGAAAAATTGGTTTTAAGAGTGTGAGCTCTTAAGTTGAGAGCAGGAGGAGCAGCGTAAGCTGCCGGTGGTTTGTGTTTTAAATAGTGCCAGTAGTGGCACCGGGAGGTGATAGTTTGTGTCTTGAGGTGAAACGGTGGTAACAACAGGATTGCTGGTTTGCTGTGTTTTGGGAGCAGTGGTGGCTGTGAGAAACAATTTTGAGAAGCCGGATGCAAGCATTAAACCTTAGTTAGTGCCTTGTTATAAACCACATTAGTTGTTTCGGTGTCTATCCCAAGTTCCAGTTATTAACTCTTTTCTTGTTATGTATTAGCTGTACTTACCCTTTGCTGTCATGTCCCTGTCCCATTGGGAGATCACCGCCACTGCTCCCCAGAACGGCGTCCCCAGCCCTGAGGAGGAGGATGACACAAGGGCCTGGACGCAAATGAGAGAGACCAGAGACACACAGGATGCACACAGACTAATAAGACTCCGGAAACAAGGAGCCACACTAAAAAGAAGAAATCAAGACAGCACCACCGAATGAGGAAGACCCAGAGGAGTCCCCTGACTTCCTCCTAAAAACTGACATTGTTACTATGAGGTTGAATTAGTTTCTGAAAATATTTCTTAAAATCTTGTAGAGGTAGGCCTCAAGAATGCTTGGTATTAGGGGTGGTCTAGCAAGCTGAAATTTTTATGGTAAAGGGAACTGGTACTTGGGGTTTCCAAGATACCCACCGAGGGATAAGATTCGTTCATGTTCGTACAAGGATGAGCTAACTCTCATGAAGCAATATCGATAAAGTTAATGATGCAGTATTAATGAAGCAATATTGATAAGGTTGTTATAGTGATTACTGCTACAGCTGAAATTGTATAAATATGTGCACTTTGGACAAAGACGATGGAGCTAGATTTGGGTTGCTGATACCCCTAGTTCCCACGCCCTTCAATAAAGCACCTGCATATAATCAATCTGTGATTATGTGTGTTCCTGAACGCTGACATTTTGGTGACCCAGATGGGACCCTGTGAGTGCTGCTGAGTGAGTTCATGACCCAATCACGCTCCAGCCGGCACCGAGGGATTCACAGGGAGCCCATCCGGCCGTGACCGTCTCCTCTGCTCACAATGTCCCTCTGAGAGAGGTAAGGTGCTTTTCGGTCTGCTCTGGTGCCTGCCGATAAGACGCAGCGAAATCTCCGCAGGGTTGGGCTGGAGGAATTCCTGGCATTGCCCAGGCGCCGTCTGTCAGACAAGTGCGAAAGCGTTGCAGGTTCGGCATCAGTGGTGTGTGGTGTATTGTAACTGTAACATGGAGAAGCTTAACGGGATTTGAGGTGGCAATGCCCCTATAGCACGTACTTCTCCTTTGGGGTGCTTATTGGCACATTGGAAACAGGGTAACTTTGGGCAAGATTTACGTAAAGTTGATTGATTATTGTAATACATGGTGGCCAGGATATGACCTGAACAGTGGGGAAAAGTGGCCAAGAAATGGATCTTTGCAGTATAACACCATTTTACAGTTGATGTTGTTCTGTAAGCGAGAGGGAAAATAGGAAGAAGTTCCATATGTAGATTTGTTTTTCTATTTGAAAGACAAGCCAGAATGGCAGGCTGAGTGTGGATTGATGGCAGTTAAAGCATGTGTGAGTGATAAATGTGAGGTTTGTATAAAAGGAAAAGTTGTTTAGAGCACCTGGCATTAAAAGAAAGTTTTTGTCGGCTGAAAGAGATGGATGTTGATTTACAAGTGGTTCCAGCAGAACCAAAAGAACCTGATTCTGTTTTGTCTGCCCCTACTTCATCTAATCCTATTTCCCCTAACCCTATTTCACCGAACCCCACTTCACCTTTCCCTCTTTATCCTCCTCTACCGCCTTCACCTGATCCTTCTTCTCCGGGAGATGATCAAGATCTAACTGTGATACAAGGAAATGTGAAAAATGCTGGGGAGGAGGATAGCAGTAGCGGGGGTGATGAGAATAAATCAGTGACACCGGTGTCCCATCGGACTCGGTCAAAGCTTGCTCCGGTTCTGGGCAGAACGGGAAAAGATTTGGGCAGACAAAGGCGGACTGTGATTGCCCCCTTGAGACAAGAAGTAGGAGTAGAGGGGCTGGTGTTTGTGAAAGTGCCTTTCTCCCCTGCAGACTTGATAATTTGGAAACAGCCAGCTGGAACTTCTAGAGAAAATCCTGATAAAGTAGCAGGGGTGGTAAAAATGATTATGAAAACTCAGAATGCAGATTGGGAAGATATACAAGTAATATTGGATAATTGAATGGACTCTGCTGAGAAAGAGATGGTGCTTAGAGCAGCCAAGGAGAAGGAGAGAGAAGATCTCATAACTGGGATGGTGACAGGGACTTTAGGTGAGAACTTTCTGACCAGGGATCCAGGGTGGGATCCCAATGCCTTTGGGGACATGCGGAGGCTGAAGAGATATCAAGAGTGGCTCCAGACAGGGGTTGGGAATGCTATACCAAAGGCTATGAATTGGTCTAAATTGTATGAGGTAAGAGAGGAAAAGAAAGAATCTCCTGGTGCATTTTTGGAAAGCGTTAAGGAGGCAGTGAGAAAGTATACAGATCTTCAACTAGAAACAGAACAAGCGAAAGTTCAGCTTGCGTTCATTTTTCTTAGGCAGTCGCAAAATGGTATTAGGAGAAAATTCCAGAAGTTAGAGGGAGAGGAATTAAAATATTTGAATAAATTACTTGAAGTGGCTTGGAAAGTATACAATAAGAGGGAAAAAGAAGCTAGTAAAAAACAGCAGCAAAATCTTTTGGCAGTGATCCAAGGAAGAGAGAATCCAGGTTTCAGAGGACATGGCAGAGTTGGTCGTGGACTGGGGAGAGGCGAACTTGGCAGAGGACAAGGGAGATGAGTTTTGCCAAGATTAGGGTTAAATCAGTGTGCTTATTGTAGACAAGAGGGACACTGGAAAAATGAATGCCCAAATCAGTTTAAGCAGGGCAATCAGTTCAATCAGAATCAAGACACTTTGAAATTAATGGTGCTGGGGGAGTACAGCAGCTGACTAGAATTGGAACAAAAACCAATACAGGAACCTTTAGTAACTATACAATTGGGAGATAAAGAAGTAAAATTTATGGTGGATACAGGGGCTACATATTCTGTGCTAAATGATCTAAAAGGGAAAATTGAAGACAAAACAGCAACAAGAGTTAGAGCCACAGGGAAGGAGGAGAATTGGACATTCCTGCAACCCCTGGATTTGTGTTTTGGAAACAAAGTTTTAACACATGAATTTTTATATATACCTGAGTGTCCAATTTCACTTTCAAGATGAGATTTATTAGCAAAACTTGATGCAGTGATAACTTTTGAGAACGGGGAACTTTTAATGAAAATCCCTGAATCGAAGACAGTACAAATTTTAATGAAAAAAGAAAAACCAGTCCCTACCATCCCTCAGGGAGTAGTGGACGCAGTAATTCCCTCTGTATGGGAAACAGACATACCAGGAAAATCTAAACTGGCACAACCAGTACATGTAGAATTAAAAGAAGGAGCAAAAGCTGTACAAGTTAAATAGTATCCTATAAAGGCAGAAGCACGACAAGGAATAGCAAAGATTATTGAAAAGTTTTTGAAGTACCATGTTTTAAAATACGTGAATCAGAATTTAATACACCAATATTTCCAGTGAAGAAACCAAATGTTGAGTACAGACTAGTACAGGATTTGAGAGCAATAAATGGAATAACAAAAGATATTTACCCAGTGGTAGCTAATCCTTACACATTGTTAACATCCGTGAAAAAGAAATAGAAATGGTTTACTGTAATTGATTTTAAAAATTCCTTTTTCTGCATACCCCTTGACAAAGAAAGTAGGAAACTGTTTGCCTTGGAGTGGGAAAATCCAGAAAATGGAAGGAAAACTCAGCTCACCTGGACACGACTCCCACAAGGATACAAGAACAGTCCAACCCTATCTGGAAGCCAGCTGGTTAAAGAGGTGGAGATTTGGACCGAGAATGGGCAAGTTTCGAGGGAGCAATACCTGCTGTGACAGTATGTTGATGATATACTGATAGCTACAGGGGAAAAGACAACCTGCAGAAAGGTAACAATTGAAATTTTAAATCAGCTGGGAATGAGTGGATATAAGGCGTCTAAAGAGAAGGCACAAATTGCCCCACAAACTGTGATTTACCTGAGATGTGAAATCTCACAAGGGCAATGAAAGCTGGGTACTGATCATATTCAAGCTATTTGTGCCATTCCAGAACCCCAGAACCTGCATGAGCTGCGAGTCTTCCTCGGGATGGCCGGATGGTGCTGCCTGTGGATCATGGACTATGGACTAATTGCAAAACCCCTGAATGAAGCCCACAAGACACAGCCGTTTACCTGGGGCAAACCACAGAAGGAGACCTTCCTCAAACTGAAGTAGGCATTGACAACAGCTCCAGCATTAGGACTGCCTGACCTATCCAAAGATTTTCAGCTGTTTGTGCATGAAAGACTACACCTAGCACAGGGAGTGCTGACCCAAGGTTTGTGAAGCTGGAAAAGGCTGGTAAGCTCCTTCTCCAAACAACTTGACCACGTGAGTGCAGGATGGCCTTTGTGCCTGTGGGCAGTTGCAGCCACCGTGATGCTGCCACAAGAAACTAGGAAACTCACGATGGGTAGACACATAGATGTCTATGTGCCACACATGGTGACCACTGTTTTAGAACAAAAGGGGAGCCATTGGCTATCTCCAAGCAGGATGATGAAATTCCAGGTAATCCTGACTGAGCAGGATGATGTCACACTAAAGACAACTAACCTCTTGAATCCAGCTTTGTTCCTAGGTACCACAACTGAAGAAGGCCCATTGGAACACGATTGTGTGGAAGTGATAGAACACACCTGTTCAGCTAGAGCTGAAAGATGTCCCACTGGAACAGGCAGACTGGGAGCTGTTTACAGGTGGAAGCAGTTTTGTGGAGAACAGGACCAGATACCCTGGATATGCAGTAACAACAACAGGTGCAGTGGTGGAGGCAAAGGCCTTGCCAGCAAACACATCTGCCCAACGAGCACAACTGGTTGCTTTAACCAGGGCATTAGAGCTGAGTGAAGGGAAGAAAGTAAATATCTGGACTGATTCAAAATATGCTTTTGGAGTGGTGCATGTACATGGGGCACTGTGGAAAGAAAGAGGACTGCTGTCTTCTCAAGGCACACACATTAAACATCAAGATGCAGTCCTGCAATTAATAAAAGCAGTACAAAAGCCTGAGCAAGTAGCAATCATGCACTGCAAAGCTCACCAGTCAGGAAGCTCCAAAATTCATGAGGGAAATCGGAAAGCAGACTGGACAGCCCGACAAGCTGCTCGAGAAGTGCAAACTGCAATGGCATTGATACCTTTAGAAACTCATGTATCTCATTCAATTTACCT